GCTCTCCACCTATAGATTGCTGAGAGATCTGTGCACACACTGACTATAGAGAGCTCTCCACCTATAGATTACTGAGAGATCTGTGCACACACTGACTATAGAGAGCTCTCCACCTATAGATTACTGAGAGATCTGTGCACACGCTGACTATAGAGAGCTCTCCACCTAAGGATTACTGAGAGATCTGTGCACACACTGACTATAGATAGCTCTCCACCTACAGATTGCTGAGAGATCTGTGCACACACTGACTATAGATAGCTCTCCACCTATAGATTACTGAGAGATCTGTGCACACACTGACTATAGAGAGCTCTCCACCTATAGATTGCTGAGAGATCTGTGCACACACTGACTATAGAGAGCTCTCCACCTATAGATTACTGAGAGATCTGTGCACACACTGACTGGTCTGTTTGGACAGATATCCCTATTCTGTGTACCTGTCTTGTATAGAGACAGATCACTGTAACCCAGTAAAAGCGTTCTGTACAGATATTATCGTTTTCTCTCTCTCCATTGTCCATCTCTCTCTCTTTTCTCTCTCTCCAGGATTGCGGATGTGTCTCGGAGAGAACTTGGCTCGAATGGAGCTTTTCCTCTTTATCTCAGCTCTGCTCCAGAAATTCACTTTCACCAGAACACCTGGATCTAAACAGTTGGACTGTAAATCCCTGAGAAATAACAAGCCCACAATGATAGTGAGCTCCGAGCTCTGCGCTGTCCCTCGCTCCACGTCCTCGGTCACTAAGTGATGACATGAGGAGGACACCAGCTCACTTTATAAATGTAACTTCAAGAATTAAAACAATTACTATATTGTTACAGATTACAAGTAATTCTAAAGATCAGGATAGACCCAAACACAATTTTAAGCCTTTTACCATGAGATCACTCGCTATGTGAATGAGCACCAGGAATAATGTCAGATGTTGGTTTAATATATGCAGGGTGGGTGCAAGGATTTTTACTGCCGCCCTATACCATCCACAAATGGTGTAACATCACGCAAACCACACTCACATATGCTTCAAAATTGGTGTGGCATCTAAATGTCCTGTCCATATGATCCAACACACACAATCTCACTGGCACAAGCACAATTACACAAGCCAGCTCATACTCACAAGCTATCTGACACACACGCACAAGATGACTACACACAATTTCACTACAGACAATTACACTTATGTGCTCACACACAAGCACACTACACACAAGCTCACTGACATACACATGCAGAGAAAAGCTCACTCCCACTTAAACTCACTTTAGACAAACACACTGAAACACACTCAAGCTCACTATAGACACACTCCCACTGACACATACTCAAGCTCACTATAGACAAGCTCACACTAACACACAGACAAGCTCACTATACACAAATGTAAACTGAAACACAGACAAGCTCACAAAATACAAGCTCACACTGACACACAGACAAGCTCACTATAAACAAGCTCACATTGAGACACAGATAAGCTCACTGTACACAAGCTCACACTGATGATCACACTGACACACAGACATGCTCACACTGACACACATACAAGCTCACACTGACACACATACAAGCTCACCATACAAAGCTCACACTGATGCTCACACTGACACACAGGCAAGCTCACACTGACACACAGACTAGTTCACCATACAAAGCTCCCACTGACATACACAAGCTCACACTGACACACAGACAATCTCACCATACACAAACTCACACTAACACACAGACAAGCTCACTATACACAAATGTAAACTGAAACACAGACAAGCTCACAATATACAAGCTCACACTGACACACAGACAAGTGCACTATAAACAAGCTCACATTGAGACACAGATAAGCTCACTGTACACAAGCTCACACTGATGATCACACTGACACAGAGACAAGCTCACACTGACACACATACAAGCTCACACTGACACACATACAAGCTCACCATACAAAGTTCACACTGATGCTCACACTGACACACAGACAAGCTCACACTGACACACAGACTAGTTCACCATACAAAGCTCACACTGACATACACAATCTCACACGGACACACAGACAAGCTCACCATACACAATCTCACACTGACACACAGACAATCTCACCATACACAAACTCACACAGACACAAAGACAAGCTTGCTATACACAGACTCACACTGGCACAGAGGCAGATTCACTATACACAAGCTTACATTGACACACACTAAATGGCATACATTCAATATATATAACTATGTGTATCCTCCATGTCTGTTAATTGTTATCTGGCTGGATCTGATCCTGTTATTTACTGGCTGAGAATGTCGGCTGAGCACTCTCAGCCAACGAATGAGTTCCTTTGTATAGAATTGACATTGGCGAGCCCAGAACTCTTGCTCCTGGTTGGCTAATAACACTGCAGGGGGTGGAGTTACACACCCAGCATCAACATAAAAATATCTCAGGATGTGCATGTTTAGACTGCAAGCACCATGATCACTTCAAAACACCAAAGTGCTTATGGTGCTTGGAGTAATCGTTTAAGCTGCTCTATTAAATGTAAATTATCTTTATTAATATATGTATTTAATCATCTGAAGCATATGAAGAAACACATTTTTCTAATTTATCGGGGTTTTAGTGCATTAATACATCTAGCGTGCTGCATGTCAATTTGAGAAAATATGAAGTTTTTAAAGGGTTAATATTAAAGGGACATGCACTTTAATTTTGTGGAAAGACACATCAATTTAATTACTGCAACGGTTTGTTTAATTGTGCAGATCTTCCATAAATAATGCAAGTATAATAAAATCCCAATAAATACCAAAATTATGGTTTGCTTGGTATACTTATTACAATAATTATCAAGAAATGAAACCTAGAGATTTTATTAACTGGTTGAACAGATGAGTATAAGAAGCATTAAAAGTCACCTTGGTTGTAGGAAACAGTTTGTGTTTAGCGCTGTTTCTTAGTTTGGGCATCCTAAAGAATACTCATACAGAAAAACAATAATGCTATATCGATGGATCAATAAATCAGTAAATTAAAATAATGCTATATTGATGGATCAATAAATCACTGTCACAATAATGCTATATCGATGGATCACTAAATCACAATAATGCTATATCGATGGATCAATAAATTACAATAATGCTATATCGATGGATCAATAAATCACTAAGTCACGATAATGCTATATCGATGGATCAATAAATCACTAAATCACAATAATGCTATATCGATGGATCAATAAATCACTAAGTCACAATAATGCTATATCGATGGATCAATAAATCACTAAATCACAATAATGCTATATCGATGGATCAATAAATCACTAAGTCACAATAATGCTACATCGATGGATCAATAAGTCACAATATTGCTATATCGATGGATCAATAAATTGCTAAATCAAAATAATGCTATAACGATGGATCACTATATCATAATAATGCTATGTAACGGTTACCCCGGAGAGTAGAGGGTGTCCTTCTCCCGATGGGTGAGGGGGTATTCTCAGCATCCAGTAGTCTCCCAAGTAAGAGAGCTCTTTAAAGAGCTAGTGTGATTAGCTGTATAGTTGGTTACCCCCAATAAGAGACAAAACTCTAAATTGAGGGTGAAGAAGAACTGACTCCAATGAGCATTTATTCCTGCTTATATACAACTTTCCCAGCAAGGTTACCACCCACATGGACCTTGTGGGGCACTGGAACTGTAAATTTAACAACCAATAAAATAAAGGCACATGGATAAACACACCCACTTTTTACAATGAGAATCCTCCCCTCTGCTTGGGAGATAATTCAGTTAATTACTGTATCAACTATCTCCAAGCTTAAAAAAGTTACTTTTATGCCATTTTTGTAACTTTGTGAGTTTACATGCGATATCAATAAAACTTATATTTTTATAACCATTTTTATAAGCATAATTTCGGGACAAACATATCCAAAATTCAGGTTCAGGAGATAGGTGGAAGTCATATTTCCAACAGTATAACCTGTGTCCGTGTCTTAATGGGGGTTTGGCTAAGGTTAGCGCATATGCCGGCAAATCCGACTCTGAGCCTGTCATGTGTGCTTTTACATTCACCCTGTGTTGTGAATATTTAGTTCTAAGACTGGATTTTACTATATACCATTTTTAGAGATGAGCGGAAACCTGGATGTTCGGGTTCGCCGGGTTCGTCCGAACATCGACAAAAAGTTCAAGTTCGGCCTCGAACTTGACCCCGAACCCCATTGAAGTCAATGGGGACCCGAACTTTTGGGCACTAAAATGGCTCTAAAAAAGTCCTGGAAAGGGCTAGAGGGCCTCAAAATGAAGTAAAATGGGGGTAAGAGTAGGACAAGTGCCCTGCAAACAATTGGGGTAGCCCCCAAAATATTGGGACATATAAAAAAAGAAAACAAAGAATAAGTGCACTTGAGTATAACAATGGCTGGCTGGGGCCGGTATAAATGTCTATTCTGCACAAGGTACAGACAAGTCTGGTGGGATCCATGCCTGGTTCATTTTAATAAACGTGAGCTTGTCAACGTTGGCTGTGGACAGGCGGCTGCGCTTGTCTGTGATAACACCCCCTGCCGTGCTAAACACACGTTCAGACAATACACTGGCTGCAGGGCAGGACAGCACCTCCAAGGCATAAAGGACAAGCTCAGGCCAAGTGCCCAATTTGGAGACCCAGAATTTAAATGGGGCAGACCCATCAGTCAGTACATGTAGGCGTGTGCACAAGTACTGTTCCACCATGTTGCTGAAATGCTGCCTCCTGATAAGGCGGTCCATATCAGCTCGTGGTGCTGGTTGTTGTGGCTTGCTGACAAAGCTTTTCCACATTTCGGCCATGCTAACCCTGCCTTCTGAGGTGCTGGCAGTGCCCCCAGCTGCGTTGGCAACGTCTTCTTCCTCCCCTGCCTTTGCCTTGTGCTTCCACTGAGCCCCCGGTGTCAATTGGGAATGCCCTCAGCAGCGCATCTACCAGCGTGAGCTT